ACGCACTGAGCCTGTGTCCATTGGCCACGGAGACTGTGAGACAAGCAAACAGAATATTCCAGAAATAAACGTGGCTCACGTAGAGATGGCTCTGGGTATGAAGGGAACTAGTGTTTCCCAAGTGACTGTTGTGTGTGGGGCTCTGCACCGGGGGCTGGAGAGAGAGTGTGTCCGGGTGTTTGGGAGGAAGGGACGGAGGGAGCAAAAGGCCTGTGACATGTCCACTCCTGGCTTCCAGGAGCCTAAGCGTTACCCTAGGAACCACCAGCTCCACATTGTCACTCGGCCCCAATCCGCTTCCGTAGCTCCCTGACTGTGAGCCGGGCAAGTCGGGAAACGGTTCTGTCTTCTGTTCCCCTGTCTATAAGGTGGGGGGAATTAACTATAGCATCTCACAGGGTTAAAAGAGATGATTGACGTGTGCAAAAGAGCCCTGCCTCTGACAGTCAGCACCGGCCATCGTTGCTGTAGTCACTGGGAACCCATCAATCGTGTCTCTCCACTCCTCCCAGCCACCAGGTGTGGGGTGTGGGGATACTCGGAGCACAGCTGAGGTCCCTGAGGCAGCGGGTGGAGTGTGGGGGAGACGTGAATACTCGTCGGATAGTTGCCGTCTCGCAGACGCCTGACCACCAGCATCCAGGGCCCAGCTGAGGACCAACCCAGCCTGGCTGGGGCTCTCCTCTGCTTCCTCCCTCTGGGGTAAGCGAGCTCCAGAGGGCATTCCCGGCTTCCTCAGGAGAAGCCACACTGCTCCCAGGAGGGGCCAGACACACAGGCCAGGAGGGTCTCTGCCGGAGCCCACCCTCCTGGGCCAGGCTAGTGCTTTTGCCGGGGAGGGAGTCCAAGCTGAGGGTGCCAGGTAGGGGGCCATGAATGGGCAATAACAAGATGTATTAGTACTTCCAGGTGGGGCAACAGTGAGCGGGTGCCCAACGAGAGGCACAGGGTCCTTCCTGAAGGGAGGACACCAGGTCATGTTCTGAAGAAGGAGGGAGGACACAGAGAGGTGTGTGGTGGCCAGAGACGCAGGGCAGGGCAGACACAGACGGCCGGCAGTGTCTGCCAGGACTGGGATAGTGCTCTGGCGGGATGCCCCTCCCAGAGATGGCAGCGGTGCCCTCTTGTGAGCTTGGGGGTGAAGCACCTGGTCGTCTCAGAAGCAGGGGAGGCCGGAAAGCTAGGTTCTGCGGGAGCGGCTCCTTTTAGAACAAGCTGGGCAAGACACTGGGCCCTGAGGACGCTGATTCCTGAGTTCTCCATGCACCCTCCCAGTCATCCTGCAGTGTGACTGGCCCTGGCCTGCCTGCCGCTCCAGGGACACAACCCCATCCCCTCTGGTCTCTTCCCACTCCAGTACCTTGGCTCATGCTCCTCCGCTGCCTGTGTGCTCTTCCCCGGCTGGTTTCACGGTTGCCTGGTTTTCATTCTTCATGATCATCTGAAGTGTTACCTCCTTGGGTTACCCCCTGTCCTAGCGAGTTTTTTTGGTGTCAGTCTGCCCCACTGGAATGTAGGGCCCACGTGGCTAGGGACCTGGTGGAGCTAGGGCTGCTAGGCCTGTGTTGTCCCAAACAGGGACCTGCGTGCTCAGAGAGGCTGAGGGACTTGCCTGAGGTCACCCAGCTCTGGTCTGAATGCTGCTGAGTGACAGGAGAAAGGAGGAGCCTGTGCCAGGGGCTGCTGGGCGGTCCAGAAACCCAAAGGGGCGAGTCGTTGGCCAGCTGGAGTGCTCCGGCGCCAGCAGTGCCCAGGCTGCAGAAGGCTGACTCTGGGGCTCTGGGCAGAGGCACCAGCTGACGCAGGCAAGGAGCTGCTGGTGCCAGGCGCCCAGTGCCACGTGCCCAGCCCAAGAGGTGCTTCCCAGCCTGGCTCCAGACGCCCCAGCTGTACAGTTATAGCCACAGTTGAGTACCTCACTCTGAGGGCTGGGGTCTGGCCACCCTGGCACAGGAGGTCCCAGTAGCTTCTTGGGCCCTGGTGGACTGTCTCCTTTGTCCCTTCCCCTCCCCACTGGACCTTGCCCTGAGCAGAGCCCTTCAGCCTCTCTGAGTGCCCAGCCCTGTCTGGGGACCTGGTGGAGGCCCATCTGCCAGCCTTCCCTGGGAGGTGAGGGGCCTCCCAGGGGCAGTCCCCTCTGTCTGTACCCGCCTCCTCTGACTGGGCCAGAGGGGAATTTTCCTGTGACTCACTCTGCTGGCACTTCCTGTGGTCACCAGGGCAGGGGCTGGGGGGACCCAGTGGGGTGGCTCCGTATACTGGGGTCACTGGGGGAGGGGACTGCGTGTGAGAGTGTGTGTTTGTGTGTGTGTGTGTCCCCCGCCCTCTGAAAGGATGTGATTCCCTGAGGCAGGCTGCAGACCATATTTGGGAAACTTACTTTTCTTAAAGGCGCTGGCGATGGGGCCCGGAGCCCCAGTGGGCTGCAGGGCAGCCCTCACCTCGCCGCCGCCTCCCTGGGCTTGGCCTCTGGACCTGCTTCAGCCTCCTCTGCCCTCTCTGGCTTCAGAGCCTAGGAGGGGGCCCACTATTTTCTTTTTCAGGACGTGTGTTGTTTTAACCCTGAAGCCAAGAAATGCTCATTAAATACAAATTGAAAAATTCTGAAAATCAGGAAGAGAAAACATCTCCCAGTCATCTCCAATATTAGCATTGTTATTCTTCCCTCTCCCAGTTATTTAAGTTGGAGTGACGGTTTATGGAGGCATAACTTATTCTTCCGTGCGTGTGCAACCGTGGTAATCTGTGTGGACCTCGCAGCCGTCAGCAGTTCCAGGGGCCTCTGCCCTGGTGCTCAGCTGGGTGCTGGGTGGCTCCTCTGGCTCTGCCCTCCCTGAGCTCTTGGCTCCCAGTTTTCCTGCCGCTGGCCTTCTGGGAACCTATGAGCTGCTCGAAGGAAGTGTGCTCCGGGGTCTGAGCGTGCAGTCCTGGGGCCTGAGCACTTGCCCGCCCAGGCCGGCCCTGTGGGCACCTGGCTGACACTCAGGACGCTTCCCTAATGCTGGGTGGCAGCAATGGAGACGGGGCTCACAGGGGCCCTTGCTGAGCCCAGATGCAGGAATGGAGTGAGGAGAGGGGCTTGGCTGAGGCCTCACCCTCACTGCCCTCTGCTCCAGGGCCCAGGCTCCCACTTCCTGTTCCTGCCTGTGGGGGGAGGGGGGGTAAGCTTTTCCTTCTGCCTGGAATTTCTGCTCCTGCTTGACTCCTTGCAGATGGAGTCCTGGGGAGGAGACGGGGCCTAGGTGGGGAAGGTAACACAGCTAATGGGTAGCCAGACCCAGGATTCATTCCTTAGTCAAGGGTCTGGACCAGGCTATGTGTCCTCAGACCCAGGAGACTCAGAGAAGGGCAACCAGAGCTGAGGCCTCACTGGTGGAGCTGGAGCCCAGCTGGCCTGGTGCTGTCCTGTCCTCAGATCTGGCTTCCCCCCGTGTGAGGCCTGGCCTCTGCTGCACCCTGCCGAGCTCTCTGCTGCCCTCGAAGGCCAAGGCAACCCTGGCCCTCCCTCCTCCAGGTGCCTCCTTAGCTCCTTGGAAATGACCTTGGCCCTCCAGCGGGGGTGGGGGTGGGACCTGTGATATCTCTGGGCCCAGCCTGAGCTGGCACCTGTGCAAGGGAGTAGCAGCATTAGGGGCCAAGAGCTAAAAATCCGGGGACTCCTGACTCCAGATTTTCTGCCCCTCGTCAGGTTCTGGGTCTGCCACTCGGTATCACTAGTGCTATGGTCCGCCTGCCTCTGACCCTACCGCCTTCCCGCAGGGCCTCTCCCTGGAGCGCATGGCCTGCTCTGGGAGAGTTTCTGACTGGCGGAACCCGGGGGAGTGTTGAGAGGTTGTGCAAGTTAACAGGAGAATCACAGCAGCAAAGAGGAGGGTTGGAGAGTGCTGTCATTCCTTGTTTTGCTTTATTTTTCTCATTTATTCCTGATGCCTATCTCATTCCTGTCCCTCTTCCAGAAGCACCCATGCTAACGTAATGTGTCTGGAATCTCCCTGGATAAGAATCTGTGAAAAATACATGAGGTTGTTTTGTAGATGTTTATGTAACATTTACAGTAAAAGACTCCACTCTTACCTCAGGAGGGTGTGGCCGACAGGCCTCACCAGACACCTGGGCACCTGCTGGCACACAGCAGAGCTGCAGATGAGTGCCGATTTGCTGGCTGGCACCCTGAGCATTCTTTGGGGGGCGGTCTTGGCCATTCAGTTTTCCCCTTTGGAAAAGTCACTCCTCATATTTGGTTGGTTTTCTGTGAGTGTTCTTTTTTCTTACCAATGTGTAGGAGCACCTCCAGATTCTTCATTGATCACTCTTGTCATTTGGTGACCTGTCACCCTGTCTGGTTTTGTTTTTGTCACCTTACATGTTGTGCTTTTGGGGTCTTTGTTTTTGAGGTTATGTTTTTATATTTTTTCCTATCACAATGATATTCTCCCACAGTTTTTTCTTTTATTAGTTCTAGAGTTCTACACTTCACGTTTCGGTCTCTAATTGACCTTTATTTACAATGTGGGGCAAGACTATTTACCAAGAGTCTTCTAGTGTGTGGGCATTTTCGTATCGATGATGACGGTTTGTTTTTTTCCTCTTGGCTGATTGCACTGGTGGGGCAGCAGGCCTGTGCAGGGAGGGTGAACATCCTGTTTTCTTCCCAGAACGTGTGGCCATTATTGTCATTATCGGTGTTGGGGCAAGTTGCAGGATGACTTTGGGAGTGGTTTTTAATGGAGTCCGAGTGCCATCCCTGGCAGGTAGGTGGTGGCTGCGGTTGAGAGGATTTTGAGGTGCCATCCAGGCCCATTTGGAAAAAAGTGCCAAGATCAGCTGGGCCTTTCTGCTGGGGTTCATGGGGTCCCAGGCACCGGGATTGTGCCAAACTTTACTCGGCTCCTTTCCCAGGGCCAACCCTAGGCGTTTCCCTGACCTGGAGAGGCGTGGGTGATGGGCGGGCCGCTGAGCCCTCCATGCACAGCCTCATGCCCTGTGCCCTCTCTCCCCAGAACGTGCTGGCCAAAGCCCTCTATGACAACGTGGCCGAGTCCCCCGACGAGCTCTCCTTCCGCAAGGGCGACATCATGACGGTGCTGGAGCGCGACACACAGGGCCTGGACGGCTGGTGGCTCTGCTCGCTGCACGGGCGGCAAGGCATCGTGCCCGGGAACCGCCTCAAGATCCTGGTGGGCATGCAGGACAAGAAGCCCGCCGGGCCCGGCCCCGGCCCCCCTGCCCCTCTGACCCCGCCCCAGCCCGGCCTCCACAACCCGGCCGCCCAGTACACGCCTATGCTGCCCGCCACTTACCCCTCGCAGTCTGACAGTATCTACCTGGTGCCCACCCCCAGCAAGACCCAGCAGGGGCTCTACCAAGCCCCTGGGCCCAGTCCGCAGTTCCAGTCTCCCCCGGCCAAGCAGACGTCCGCATTCTCAAAGCAGATGCCCCATCACCCGTTCCCCAGCCCAGCCCCAGACCTTTACCAGGTGCCTCCAGGGCCTGGCAACTCCACCCAGGACATTTACCAGGTGCCGCCTTCTGCTGGGATGGGGCTGGACATCTACCAGGTTCCTCCATCCATGGACGCACGCAGCTGGGAGGGGACAAAGCCACCGCCAAAGGTAAGGCCACCCTGGCATGGCTGGGCAGCCCTCCTGGTGGGTTTCTGGGCACAGCAGGGCACAGCTAAACACCCTTGGGTTCTCTGGGGCTCCGGCAGTGGCCGTGTATTTGGTCTGGGGCCAAGTGGGCGGTGATGGTTTGGGAAATGTCATTCTGCTGCTGCTGATGGGTGTGGCCAGGCGGGGCCAGCCCAGAGAGAAGATAGCTGACCTGGCCTTGACCATAAGGTGTATGTCAGACAAAGGCCAGCGGAGGACGCAGCCTGCCAGAGGCCTGGAGGTGTGGGAAAGTCTCTGTATTCTGGGTTGGCAGTTAAGGCTTGGCTGGTGATGCCGGAGCAGCAGGCTGGGGACAGACTCCCAGGGGCCTGATGCCACCTAAGACCCAGATGCTTTCCTGAAGACAGAGGGTTTTGAGTGGCAGTGACTCTGCTCAGCCCGTATTCTAGTTAAGTCATTCTGCCCAGAGGGGCCCAGGCAGGGACAGGGGACCCAGGAAAGGGAAGGAGGGTTGGGAGATTAGGGTGGCACTTGAAGGGGAGAAATCCAGCATGGAGTGCAGCGCAGCAGTTGGGGGAGTGTGGCTGAAACCCCAAAAGAATGTATTGAACAAAAGGAGAGGTGTTTTTCCTCACTTACCTCAGTTTGGAAATGAGCACTGCAGCTCTGTGCCTGTCAGGGGCCATGGCTCCTTCCGTCTTGTTGCTCTGACATTGTCGATGTAGGGCTTGAGTCTCATGGGCCAGGGAAGTTGCCTTGTGAGCTCTAACCAGCATGGCTACCTCCTGGCGAGCAGGAAAGGAAGAAGGGACAAAGGTAGAGGCCAGCTGTCGCCTTGCGCCTGGAGGTTCTGGGCGGGGGTGGCAGGCCCTTGGTGTCAGTGAGCACATCTGGCCGTCCCTGCCTCCATCGCTGCCCTTCTCTTTTGGGGCAAGTTAATGGGCCTTTAGGCACCTCCAGGTGACCTGTTTGTAACTGCTGCACAGCAGGGAGAGCATTGCCAATGGGATTGCCAGTGCAGGGTCGTCCTGAGAGAGAGTCTGGTTCAAGCCTCTTGTGAGCTGTTGCCAGTGGGATGCTGGGCCAGGGGACAAGGCCCACACCCCCCTCCCCCGTCTGTCTCCTGAAGGGAGGGGAGGCCAAGCCCCACTGGCTGCTTTGGGCTGAGTCAGGAGCAACGTTTTCTCACCTTTGGCCTCTGTCTTCTCATGCACACATCCTTTCGAGAATCAGGGAGTGGAGTTTCCTGAGGCCTGGAAACGGACTTGGGGGACAAAGTGGCCACACCCAGCTCTCCTATCTCCTCCATGGTTGTTCACCCTTGGGAGCTGACCCAGGAGGACCCTGAGAAACTGGTGCCTTTACAGCCTACCCAGCTCCAGCTCCCCAGCTTGTCCCTCCTCAGAGAGACCACAGCCGATGGTGTGACTCAGAGGCCCTGGGGGGAGAGGATGGGCCCTGCTGGGTCAGCTCCCCTGGCCCAGGGCCTTCTGTGTTTGCAGAGGTAGCAGCCGAGCAGACACTCACTCCACAGCACTGAGCCCCAGTCCTCAGAGCCAGCCCAGGGGGAGGTGGAGACTTGCCCCCGCCCACAGGATGGAGCTTAGCAGCCAGGACATCTTCCTGGAGGTCATTGGCTGGCTGGCAGAAGGTGTCCAATGACACTGGCTACCAGGGAACCCCGGGTCACTGGCTCCCACTTCCTGGTCCTTCAGCTCTCCGGCCAGAGGTGGGCGGTGCTGGGCTGGGGTGGTCTGCAATAGGCAGCTCCCAGGTAGCTTTAGCAGGAAGTAGCAGCAGGAAGCAGTTCCCAGCTGGTGAGCCTTGGGGCAGGGCCTAGTTCATCCCGCTACACACACACACACACACACACACACACACTCTCTCTCTCTCTCACTCTCTCTCTCTTTCTCTCTCTTCTCCCCCCCCCTCCCTCTTCCTCTCTCTCTCTCTCTCTCCACACACACACACACCCCAGGGAGGAGGATACCTTTCCCCTTCCCTCTCCCTTCCCTCGCCTTTGCAGGAGGCCTGCCCTGGTGCACCTGTGAGCGGGCAGCAGCAGTGAGGCCAGGTGCTGGTCATTGGCTGTGTCCCTCCCCTTGGACAGACTTGTGCTCAGTCTGCATCTGGGCTCACGGGGCTGCGGCCCAGTGGCCCTCCCCAAGAAACCTCATTGCTCCTGACCTGGGCAGCCTGATTACATCTGCTTTTATTTTATGATCATGAGAGTGAAGCTTGTTTGTCATAAAAAATGGGAAATGTATGAAAAAGTCTAGACAGGAGATGCCCCAGTCGAGGTAATCACTGGGAGGTTTTGGCATGTTTTGTCTAGACTAAGGTGACCAGACATCCCACTTTTGACGGGACAGTCCCGATTTTTAACAATTTGTCCCGCGTCCCGCGGCATTTTTAAAGTCCCGATTTTTGGAAAGAATCTTTTAAACCTTTTAGACTTTTTTAAAACGCTGTGGGACGCGGGACAAATAGTTAAAAATCAGAACTGTAGCCGAAGCTGGTTTGGCTCAGTGGTGGAGCGTCGGTCTGCGGACTGAAGAGTCCCAGGTTCGATTCCGGTCAAGGGCATGTGCATTGGTTGGGGGCACATCCCCAGAAGGGAGTGTGCAGGAGGCAGCTGACCGATGATTCTTTCATCGACGTTTCTAGCTCTCTGTCTCTCTCCCTTCCTCTCTGTAAAAAAATCAATAAAATATATTAACAAATAAATTGATTAATTAAAAATCAGAATTGTCCTGCCAAAAGCGAGACATCTGGTCACCTTAGACTAGATTCTATACATCTCTCACAGATTTGTACACATATTTTTGCATTTTGAGGTAGTAAATCTAATATCAGATAGATATCAGAGCATTTTGTTGAGTCCCTAAATATGATAGTGACTACTGCCCTGGATTTGCTCTGTTGCCCCCGTGGTCTCCAGGCAGTTTCTGATGACACTGTCTCTGACACACAGCCAGGCGTGGACATCTTGGTGCTCGCACATTTGTGCCCACATCGCAGGGTTGTGCTTTCCTAAGCCTCGTCCTCTCCCTCACAAGTCTGGGAAACGGGCTCCTGGTCCCGGAGGGAGGTTGGCTGGGCCGTGGAGGAACCCTGCCAGGACTGTGGTTGGGGGCTGAGTGGCTTGAGAGAGGTCAGGGCCGCACCAGGTGTCAGGGCCATTTGGGCAGGGGCGTGGCTGTAGGAGGCGGAGGCAGAAGTAGATAGGGCCCTCAGGGGAGGGGTGTTGTTGTGAGGTCACTCTTGGGGGAGTGCCTATGGGTTGGGGCCGCAGCTGTGCCTGAGGGAACAGCTGTGGCTCTGGGTCAGGCACTGGGAGACACAGCTGAGCTCAGCTCTGTTCCTTGTGGGAGCTTCATCTCCCCAGGCCCATGGTGCCAGGCCGTGGGGGTGCCAGAAGCAGGGGACCCACGCTAGGCTTGTCCTCGCTCCTGATGAGAGGTTGGATGGCCATTTGCTCCATTTCTCAGAGGAGGAAACCCAGCTTCCAGAGGCAGGTGGAGTGGGGGGTACCAGGCCAGTCAGCCAGGGCCACGTGAGCCAGAGGCCCGTTTGCAGACGGGAGAGACTGTCAGATGAGCTGCCTTGAGGTGGTCAGGGCCCTGGGCAGGTGACCGTCCCATCTCACTGGGTCTTGGAAGCCGTTAGTGTCAGGCCTCGCTCTGCCCTGCAGATGCCCTGCCTGCCCTGCCCAGCCCAGCTGTCCGTCTGTGGGTGTGCATCTGGCAGTGGGTACGCACGTCGGTCTTGCACTGATGAGATGTGCGTGAGAGCACGTGTTCTCGGGTTGGGGTCTGTGTGTTCGCGCAGACTCAGGCTGTCCCCACCCTGGGGGCCTCGGTCCTGCTGATGGGGCCCAGGTGCAGAGCAGGCGGCCTGTGATGAGGTGGCTCAGCCGCTCTCTGGAGAGCTGGTTTCCCTAATGAGCTTTTTCCCCTGGCGGCTGCCTCACTATTTTTTTCTACCAGAAAAACGTAAGCTGGCCAATATGGCTGCTTACTGTCACCAGCTCAGCCGCAGGCCTGGCAAGCTGCCCGGGGCTTGGGTCCGGTCCCTGGAGCCCTCCTGCCTGCGCTGCCTGCCTGTGTCATCTGCGAGGTACTGGGGAGGGGCGAGGCGCACACCCCTCTGCCTTTTGGAGGCCAGCAGGGCCTCGAGACACTGGGGCTTCGCCTCCAGGCCCCGCCAACCTGCCACGTCCCGCCCGCCGCCCCCCGCCCACCGCCCTGCCATTGGCAGGTTCCAGTGTCTAAAAATAGCCCTGGAGGAGACTCAAGTCTGGGGCTCAAGGAGGGAGATGAATCTGGGGAGGGCTGCCAGCTCCACTTCCAGACACGCCGCGGCGGGGGCGGGGCGGGAAACCCCATGGAGGCACGCCCCACAGCTAAGGGAGCCGCCCAGGGTCGCTCTGCTGCCCAGGAGGGAGGCGGGCAAGGGTGTGCGTGAGCAGGAGCCGAGGAGAGGAGTGCTGGTGCCTGCACTTCTGGCGGCTGCCCACGCGTGAGGGCTGGCACAGCATGGACACAGGATTCCGGGGCCCTGAGCCTGAGGGCTGGCCCTGCCTCAGCTCACTGCCCCGGGATGGGGGGGGGGGGGGAGGCCGAGCCAACCCCAGCCCAGAGGTCCCCTTTGATTCGGGAACAAAGGGCCTCTCTGTCAGGAGAAGATCAGGGCCAGAGCCTTGGGGAGGCGTGCCCTGAACTGGCCTGGGAGGTCTGCCAGCCTGTCCCTCAGGCCGACCCTCCCACACAGCTGACCCTCCCACGGCCAGGGTGCCTGTGGGAAGAAGGCTGCGTGCCCGGCACTGCCTGCCAGGCCCGGTGCCGACATGAAGGGCTGTGGGCGGCCTGTGGCTCCGGACCCAGGGCCCAGGGCTGGGCCCCGGGTTGGGGAAGGGGCTGGCCTCCTCTCTGGGCCGAGGGTACCTGCTCGGGTGAGTGGTGGTCTCGGGCCACGTGGATGGGGAGGTGGGAGTCTTGGTTCTAGTCTTGGCTACTCTCACGCCATCTGCGTGAGAACTGGCGCTGAGGTCTGGGGGTCCCCACTGGGCTTGTCCTCAGGCGTCTCCCCAAGATGTCTGTCGGGGGAACAGAGGGCGGGGGGCTGCTTGCTGCTCTGCCAGGCCGCCACCCCCTGTGGGCCCAACCCAGCACCACACGTCCACTGGTCCCGGATCCGAAAGGTGGCTTCTGGGTCCTGAGTCGGGACAACCCTCGTGGGCAGAGTTCCCTAGGAGCGTGCAACTGAGAAGTGTCCGGAGGCAGAGGCCCCTCCTCTCCCAGCCCGTAGGCACCCTCTTCTGAAACCTGGTCACCCTTTTCCTGGTTTCCCGGCACAGATGCCATTGAAGAAAGGGCAGAAACGCCCTTGCCTCTGAGTGGCCTCTGAGCCCACTCTGTGTCTCAGCCACCGCCCAGGGAGTGGAGTCTCCCTGAGGACCCGAGCATGGACCCCGGAGCCTGGCTTCCGGGGCTGGTGGTGACAGTCGGCCGTCTGCCCTAGGTGGTGGTGCCCACCCGCGTGGGGCAGGGCTACGTGTTCGAGGCCTCGCAGCCGGAGCAGGACGAGTACGACATCCCGCGCCACCTGCTGGGCCCGGCGCCCCAGGACATCTACGACGTGCCCCCCGTGCGAGGGCTCCCCGGCCAGTACAGCCAGGAGGTAGGTGCCCGCCTGCCTGGGGGGGACGCGGCTGGCCCTGCTGAGGGAGGAGGGCTCTCCCTGCCCCTCAGGAGGCCCCGGCACCTGTATCACTGCACCTTTCCTGCCCCAGGTGTATGACACCCCTCCTATGGCTGTCAAGGGTCCCAATGGCTGGGACCCATCGCTGGACGTGTACGACGTGCCCCCCAGCGTGGAGAAGAGCCTGCTGCCACCCAGCCACCACGCGGTGAGCAGTCGGGGTGCTGGGGCCTCATGGCTGGTGCTGCCTGAGCTCGGGTCTGGGTATGACTGAGTGTGCGCTGCGGTGGGGGCTCCAGACCCCAGCTTTGCCCTCACTCGCTCTGTATGGGCTCCTGAGCCTCAGCGTCTGTGGCTGTAAAAGGGCCACATGGAGGGCCTTCATGGTGTGTGAGAGGAACACACGGGGTATCAGCAAGCTGACCACAGAGCCTGTCATCCAAACCCAGCCCCTCTGAGAGCAAAGGGGGTCCAATAGTAATGAGGGGGCATCGGGCACAAGCCAAGGTGTTGTCACCCTTACTGCAACCACCTGCCAGAGTAGGGAATACACAAGTGGTGGCGGTGTGGTCGTGGTGGTGGTAATGGCAGTGGTGGTTGTGGTGGTGTGGTGGTGATGGTGATGGTGATTGCAGTGGTGGTGTGGTAGTGGCGGCGATGGTGATGGTGATGGTGGTGGTGGTGGTGATGGCGGTGGTGGTGGTAGTAGTGAATGGTGATGGTGATGGGATGGTGGTAGTGGTGGCAGTGATGGTGGTGGTGGTGGCGGTGGTGGTAGTGAATGATGATGGTGATGGTGATAGTGAAGGTGATGGTGGTAGTGGTGGCAGTGGTGGTGATGGCGGTGGTGATGGGATGGTAGTAGTAATGGTGGAGTGGTGATAGTGGTGGTGGTGATGGTGACTATGGTGATGGTGATAGTGGATGGTGATGGTGATGGGATGGTGGCAGTGGTGGAGACTGGTGGTGATGGCGGTGGTGATAGTGGTGGTGATAGTGAAGGTGATAGTGAAGGTGATGGTGGCAGTGGTGGTGATGGTGATGGTGGCGGTGATGGTGATGATGATGGTGGTGGTGGTAGTGAAGGTGTTGGTGATGGTGATAGTGAAGGTGATGGTGGCAGTGGTGGTGATGGTGGTGGTGATGGTGATGGTGATAGTGAAGGTGATAGTGAAGGTGATGGTGGCAGTGGTGGTGATGGTGGTGGTGATGGTGATGGTGATGGTGAAGGTGATGGTGGCAATGATGGTGATGGTGATAGTGAAGGTGATAGTGAAGGTGATGGTGGCAGTAGTGGTGATGGTGGTGGTGGCAGTGGTGGTGATGGTGGTGGTGATGGCGGTAGTGATGGTGATGGTGATAGTGAAGGTGATGGTGAAGGTGATGGTGGCAGTGGTGGAGATTGTGGTGGTGATGGCGGTGGTGATAGGTGTGATCGCTGATATTCCACGGAGTGTTTGGAGTTACACAGTGAATTGACTTACATAACCCTCACAACCACTTTCGAGGAGAGCAGTCACCCGCCTTAGGTCACACAGTGGAGCCCGGATGTTGAGCTCAGGTCTGGCCCCAGAGTTGGGCTCTCAGCCACATCTGGGTGGGTAGATGGTGGTGAATGTGCCGGGCTGTGGCTGGGTCCTGTCCCTCGGCTGCAGGTGAGCAGCTGGCGGGCAGCCTTGACCACCCTTTGGCCCCTCAGGTGTATGATGTTCCCCCGTCCGTGAGCAAGGACGTCCCTGACGGCCCTCTACTGCGTGAGGAAACCTACGACGTGCCCCCCGCCTTCGCCAAGGCCAAGCCCTTCGACCCGACCCGCCACCCGCTGGTCCTCGCTGCGCCCCCCCCAGACGCGCCGCCCGCTGAGGACGTGTACGACGTGCCGCCCCCTGCTCCCGACATCTACGACGTGCCCCCCGGCCTGCGGCGGCCCGGCCCCAGCACCCTCTACGACGTGCCCCGGGAGCGGGCCCTCCCTCCCGAGGCGGCCGACGGCAGCGCGGCCGACGAAGGCGTGTACGTGGTGCCCCCCTCCGCCGAGCGAGAGGCCCCGGCGGACGCCAAGCGCCTGTCGGCCTCCAGCACGGGCAGCACTCGCAGCAGCCAGTCGGCCTCCTCCCTGGAGGCCCCGGTGCCCGGCCGCGAGCCCCTGGAGCTGGAGGTGGCCGTGGAGGCCCTGACCCGGCTGCAGCAGGGCGTGAGCGCCACCGTCACCCGCCTCCTGGACGTGGCGGGCAGCGCTGGCCGGTGTGGGGGCTGGCGCGGCACCGCGGAGCCTCAGGAGCCCCCGGCACAGGACCTGCGGGCCGCCGTGGCCGCGGTCCAGGGGGCCGTCCACGAGCTGCTGGAGTTTGCCCGCAGCGCCGTGGGCAACTCCGCCCACACGTCCGACCGCTCGCTGAACGCCAAGCTTAGCCGGCAGCTGCAGAAGATGGAGGACGTGTACCAGACTTTGGTGGCCCACGGCCAGGCCTTTGACAGTAGCCGAGGCGGCCCTGGGGCCACTTCGGAAGACCTGGACCGCCTGGTGGCCTGCTCACGGGCTGTGCCCGAGGATGCCAAGCAGCTGGCTTCCTTCCTGCACGGCAACGCCTCGCTGCTCTTCAGACGGACCAAGGCCCCTGCCTCAGGGCCCGAGGGGGGCGGCTCCCTGCACCCCAACCCCACCGACAAGGCCAGCAGCATCCAGTCCCGGCCCCTGCCCTCGCCCCCCAAGTTCACCTCCCAGGACTCGCCGGATGGGCAGTACGAGAACAGTGAGAGCGGCTGGATGGAAGATTACGACTATGTCCACCTGCAGGTGGGTGCCCGCCACGCCCTGGGTCCCTGTGCGCTCTGAGCTCTGATTTCTCCACCCCTGTCGTGGGACCTTCTCACCCCACTGAGGGCCTGTGTGGCCAAAGGAGGATTTGGCCGAGAAGGGCCTCGGTGGGTCCCTGGTCCTCCTCTCACTTTGAGCTTCCAGACCAGAGGGCCCCAAAAGCCCATTCCTCTCCCCACCTCCGGCCTTTGGGCCAGCACTTCCTGGTCATCACGTCCGCAGCTGAGCAGGGCAGAGGTGGCTGTGCTGTTTGGGGAGATGGATCCTGACATATAAGCCAAGACAGAGATGCTTCCAGGCAAGGGGGAGCAAGCAAGGTGATGGGAAGGTGGTTCTCTGAGCAGAGACCGGGGTGCCGGCCAGGTGGTCTCAGCGTTCCAGGCTGAGATCTGAGTGGGAGTTAGGGCCCAGGGGTCAGGGACAGGTGGGCAGGCTCTGTATGCCTAGAGCATGGATGTGACCTCTGGCACTGGAATGAGGTCAGGGAAGCTGGCCTTGGCCACATGGAGTATGCCCTCCCCCTTCCTGTGCTGGGAAGATGGAGGAGGCCCCGGAGGGCTGCTTCCTCTGGAAGCGGACCCCCCCTTAGGCTTGGTGGCCTCCGTGCGAGCCTGATGCGGTGTGCAGCGCCACCTGGTGATCACTCTTCTCACTGCGCACCCTCCTGGTCTGTGAGGTCCTGGCTCAGCCGGTCCTTGTCTCCCCTCCAGGGGAAGGAAGAGTTTGAGAAGACTCAGAAGGAGCTGCTGGAAAAGGGCAACATCATGCGGCAGGGGAAGGGCCAGCTGGAGCTGCAGCAGGTGAGGACGCGGGACACCCGCTGCGTCAGCAAAAGCTTCTTACCTGTCGGAAGCCAGCCTGTGGAGCTGAGCCCCGGGCCCTCCCAGCAGCCCCCCTCCACTGCACCTGCCCCATGTGTTTGCTGGGTTCGCACTAGCAGAGTAATGGTGGTGGATATGTTAGAGCGACCACACAGAAACGTGTGAGAAAGCAGGAAGGAGAAAGCGGTTACCCAGAGGCGCGTGTAACGTGGCGCTTCGTGAACAGTTACGTCTGCTTTTATCTCACGCGTTTTTCCATGGCATTAAACAGTCCTCAGGTTATTTTAAAAATATATATTTTATTGATGTTTTTACAGAGATGAAGAGAGAGGAATAGAGAGTTAGAAACATCAATGAGAGAGAATCATCGACCAGCTGCCTCTTGCACAGGGGGTGTGCCCACAACCAAGGTACATGCCCTTGACTGGAATCGAACCTGGGACCTTTCGGTCCGAAGGCTGACACTCTGTCCACTGAGCTAAAGCGGTTCTGGCCTCACATTATTTTTAAAGGTCATAGAGCATTATTATTGAACATTTATATTGTACCCAGTTTTCTTTATAAATAATTTATCTGCAAATGTAGAATCTCTTTCATATTTTGGACCACTTGAAACAGTTTATAAAAACTAAGGGAGTTTTATTCTGATTATGAAGATAATAAAAATTAAAACACAGACTAGCACAAAATAAACACAGAAATATCACCCATAAGGTTCTCTGCTTGGTGTGCATTAAGTCTTTTTATGTTTTATAAAAAAGAACGTTATTTTTTTTTTTTTTAACTTTCATTTTGGACTATTTATAAATTCACAGGGAGTTACAGAGAGAGTACCCATCGATTATGTTCTGATTAGAGAGCAGCACCCAGACAAAGAGTGCTGCCCCTCGTCCTCACCGCCACTCTGTTCTCCATGCCTCTCTTTGTGCCATTTTATTTTATTTTTTTACTTTTTAAAATATATTTTATTGATTTTTTACAGAGAGAAAGGGAGAGAGAGAGAGAGAGAGCCAGAAACGTCGATGAGAGAGAAACATCGACCAGCCGCCTCTTGCACACCCCCCACTGGGGATGCATCTGCAACCAAGGTCCATGCCCTTGACCGGAATCGAACCTGGGACCCCTCAGTCCGCGGACCGACGCTCTACCACTGAGCCAAACAGGTTTTGGCTCCTTGTGCCATTTTAAAGACGTTAGGGAAATGGAGTCATAAATGAGATGGTGAAAGGTACACGGAGACTCTGCCAATGGGATCGGAGGCCTGTGCCCGCCGCTGCTGAGCCCAGGCGCCACCCCTCTGAGCCGCGTGCCCTGTGGTGCGGCCTGTCTCACTCTGCCTCCCCTCTCCGCAGCTGAAGCAGTTTGAGCGGCTGGAGCAGGAGGTGTCCCGGCCCATCGACCACGACCTGGCCAGCTGGACGTCGGCCCAGGCCCCGGCCCCGGGGCGGCCGGGCGGCCTGGGGCCCTCGGACCGGCAGCTGCTGCTCTTCTACCTGGAGCAGTGCGAGGCCAACCTGAGCACGCTCACCGACGCGGTGGACGCCTTCTTCGCCGCCGTGGCCGCCAACCAGCCGCCCAGGATCTTCGTGGCCCACAGCAAGTTCGTCATCCTCAGCGCCCACAAGCTGGTGTTCATCGGGGACACGCTGTCGCGGCAGGCCAAGGCGGCCGACGTCCGCAGCCAGGTGACCCACTACAGCAACCTGCTGTGCGACCTCCTGCGCGGCATCGTGGCCACCACCAAAGCCGCCGCCCTGCAGTACCCGTCGCCCGCCGCCGCCCAGGACATGGTGGACAGGGTCAAGGAGCTGGGCCACAGCACCCAGCAGTTCCGCCGGGTCCTGGGCCAGCTGGCCGCTGCCTGAGGACACTGACCTGAGGGAGGAGGGCAGCGACGGTCCACGTCCACGCTGCCCCGGGCACCACCCCGAGAGCCTCGGCGCTGCAGGCCTGGGGGCAGGCGTCCCCAGCTCCCCCAGGCCCGGTGCCAAGCCCGTCAGGGATTGTACGTATTTATGACAGGGCAGGCGTGGGCTCAGGAGCCCGGGCAGAGCCAGGCCCCCCAGAGCCCGGGCCAGGGAGCAGGCGGGGGTCCTCCCTGAGGCACTGCAGGCCCAGGGAGGTCCCAGCTCCGGGCAGCCAGCCCACAGCGTGCAGGCCCCGGGGCCACACGGCCTTGGCGACCCCTGGGGGTTGACCTCAGCCCCACGAGGGTGCTACGTCCCCCCCCCCAGGGGTCAGTGCCACTGAGATATGCTCCTCAGCACCAAGAGAAACCCCTAAAAAACTATTTTTTATTATTGATTTTCCAATCATTTGACTAACAGTCTACATTTAAATAAAATTTTAAAAGTGACAAGCAGCCTCCTGAGGCGTGCGGGGCAGGAGGACCCTTGGCGGGAAGGCGGGGTGCTCACTGGATGCCCAGGGTCGGAGTGGTGGGTGAGGGGACCTGTGGTGAGGCCACGGGCGTCCTGGGAGGGGGAGGGGGAGGGCGCCAGCAGGAGAACGCCACGGCCACGGGAAACAGGGCTGGGCCGTGGAGATAAGGCAGGGTCCCGCGCAGGGTGGGCCAGGTTCGCTAATAGATGCAAGACTTTGGGAGTTGGGGTGCGTCCAGCCTGCCTTGAAGTCTGGGCTGGGAGGCAGATGTCCAGTCTGGTTCGTAGGTTCTGAGAATTGGGCCTGCTCTGCCTAGGCCACATCTCTCCTGGCTGTTTGTTTGTTTTTAAGTATGTTTTTCCTAATTTCAGAGAGGAAGGGAGAGAGAGGAAATCAGTGATGAGAGAGAATCATTGACTCGCTGCCTCCTGCACACCCCCTATTGGACGTGGAGTCTGCAACCCGGTGCATAGGTCAGTGCTCAACCACACCGGCCGGCACCGGCTGGTTCTCCGATGGGACAGAAGCAGCCGGGAAAGGGCAGCAGTCCCCTCATTAACCCCTGAGTGTGGTGGGTCCCCTCCAGGGGCTCTCGTAGGCCTGGGAGAGACAGCCAGGGGGCAGCTCGGGGGGGGGGGGGGTGTTCCAGGAGCCACAAGTGTGGGACCAGCAGCAGGCCATCCTCCGGATGCCGCTCCCCGGCCCCAGGCCAGGCCATGCACTGAGCAGGGGCAGATGGTGAGCACCCCGCAGCCCAGGTTGGAGCTGGGGCCGAAGTCCCATTCATCTGCCTGTGCTCCTCCTACCACACTCTGGGGAGGTGACGAAGGGGGGCCCTCCCCAAACCCCCTGCACCAGGGGGAGTGAAGGCCCGAGTTCAGGAGCAGAGAGGCCTTCGGGCCCCGACACAAGAGACAGACGCCATCGGTGTGTTTCCACGGGTTTATTGAGCTGTGGGGGAGCAGGGCTGGCGGGGTGGCCAGGCCAGGGCAGGGCCGGGGCCTCAGTTCTCAGCCAGGATCTGCCGCACCCAGGGCATGAGCTCGGTGACCCGGGCGTACACGCCGGGGCTGGAGGTGGAGCAGGTGCCGCTGCCCCAGGACACGATGCCCACCAGGGTCCAGGATCCATCCTTCTGGCAGACCAGGGGGCCGCCGGAGTCACCCTGCAGAAGGAGGAGAGGACTGAGGTCTGGCTGCCCAGGTGGCCTGGCCCAGAGGCTCCTGGACGGGTCCCAGAGCCCAGTCCAGGCCTGGCAGCCCGGGTCCCAGCAGCCACCTCCCGAAAGGATTATGAGAACCTGAGCAGCTCCTCCAGCCCATGCCCGAGAAGTCGGGGCCACCCCAGAGGGAGGTTCTGGGATGGAGGCTCACAGCGCTGGTTTGATTGACAGGAGGAAAGCTGTGGGCCACAGTGAGGAGAAGGGGCCGCTCTGGAGCCCGGGGCCCCGTTCCCTGCCCAGGCGGTGCCGGTTGCTCAGAACTCGACCTCCATGGGATCTTGCACTGTGCTGGCTCCAAGCCCCACCCAGGTCAGTGGTGGCCCCCCGGGAGGTCCTTCCGGGCCTCTGCTAGGAGCACCCAGAAAGGAGCCTGCCTGCTCCTCGCCGCCCTCTGCCCACGCCCCTGCCTGGGCTCTGGCCTGAGCCCAGCCCGGCCACAGACAGGTGGGAGGCTCTGAAGAACGAGGAGGGGTTTCCTGCCACAAGGCGGGGAGGAAGGGTGCAGAGCGGCCGGGCGCCGTACCATGCAGGAGGAGACGCCGCTGGCGCCGGCGCAGACCATGAGGTTGGTGATCTTGTTGCCCCAGAACTTCTTGCACTCGGCGTTGGACAGGAGGGGCAGGGCGGCCTGCTGCAGCTTGTCGGGGGTCTTGGCGTCTGGAAGGGCCGGGTAGGGGTCAGCGCCCGCAGCCCCACCTGCCCGCAGCCCCCACTGCCGCCCGGCCGCCCGCCCGCGTCACTCACTGTTGTACTTGGTCAGGCCCCAGCCGGTGGTGGCGCACAGGCTGCCCGCGGGGAAGTCATCGGCCTCGTCGGGCAGGCACACGGCGGACACGGTCTGGGAGAAGCGGGCGGGCGTGGCCAGCTTCAGCAGCGTGATGTCGTTGTTGACCGTGAACATGTTGAACTTGGGGTTCTTGAACACCTGGGGGCGGGTGGACAGACACGGTCGGGAGCCGGGCAGAAACCCAGGGCAGGGCCACCCTCATGCCTCCCTCCCCTCCGACCTCGGGGCGCTCAGCTCGGCAGCTCCTTCCTGGGGCCAACCCCCCTGCACGGAGCACCCCTGCTTTCTGCTTTGCCCATCTGCCTGGGGAACAGGGGAACGGGGGGTTCTCAGGATGGTGGCCCAGCCCGTCGGCCTGCCTGCCCGGGCCGCGTACCTTGGCGATCTTCAACACCTGGGTGTCCTCGGCGTCTGAGCCCTGGTCAAACTCCCCAGCCACGACCACGTGGGAGGTTCTGAGGAGAAAGGAGGGGGTTCCTGCTGAGGTGGCGAGGGTGAAGGCATGTGTGTGTGCAGGTACATGGGGAGTGTGTGTGTGTGTATGTGTGTGTATAGGTATATGGGCGTGTGTGTGTGCAGGTATATGGGTGTGTGTGTGTGTGTGTGTGGGTGTGTGTGCAGGTATATGGGCGTGTGTGTGTGTGTGTGTGTGTGTGCAGGTATATGGGAGAGTGTGTGTGTGTATGTGTGTGTGTGTGTGCAGGAATATGGGCGTGTATGTGTGCTCGCGTGCTCGCACACACTGATCAGACGGGAGCTCAGAATGTCAAAAGCTGCCCCAGGACGTGCCACAGCCTGAGTGTTTCCTTCCAGTGACTCCTGGGAGGCCAACAAGACCTGAGTTTTCTACACATTTCCAGTTGGGAAAGTAAGGAATGGAGTTCAGAAGGCCCACCTCCCACCCCAATGGATTCCTGGGGACCCCAGGCCCTCACCTGACCCCGCAGTGGGCAGCGGTCACCACCCAGTCCTCGCTGATGAGGGAGCCCCCGCAGAAGTGGAAGCCGGTTTTGTCCTGGAGGAGACGGGGAGATCAGCGCCGGCTGGACCCCGGCGGCCCCAGGGGGCCCCCACCCCCTCGGGTCCCTCGCTCACCTGCAGGGACACCTGCCAGGGCCAGGAGCCGGGGACAGCGTCCTCACCATTGACAATCCTGGACAGGCCGCTCAGCACGGGGTGGATGGCGGGGACGCCGCAGCCTGAGGGGAGTATGAGGTGAGGGCCCACCTCTGGGCCCCCCACCCAGGTCCCACTGCCCCATGAATCCACAGGGAGAACTCGGTGTGCCCTGGGCTTCGGCCCAGACCAGCCCGGCAGGCTGAGGGTGAGGCGGTGCAGGGCTAATGCCTGGGCAGGGAGGCTGCGCCCTGGGATTGGAACCCAGCCCCATCATCGCCTCGCTTAGCCGCTGAGTCTCAGTTTTCCCGTCAACAAAATGGGACCGTATAGTTGCTAACCTCACCGAGCTGGCATAAGGATACAAGATGAGTTAACAGGTAAAGCACGGAGTTGTTCTGGGAACATAGCTCTCTGCACACAGGAGTTCAGAAGGGCTGGCGGGCCCGTCTATCTGCTCACTTATCTGAATCAGTTTGGGAATCACCAACTCTTCAGAGAGCGTCCTGTCCCTCGGGATTGTCTCCCCTGTCCCCTGCCCGGGTGTGGGGCCTGGGGCAGCCCTAGGAGCAGCGGCCGCCTCCCCGGCCCTCACACGGCTGGTCTGATCCAGCCTTCCCTGCGTCTGCGTTACAGACATGGGGCTGCTGAGCCTCATGCCACCTGCAGGGCTGAGCTGGGAGGGGGCCCGGGGTTGGGGGAACGGCCCCCCGGCTGCTGCTGCTGCCCCAGCACTCACCGAAGGCTGAGCCCAGGAGGGCGAAGCAGGAGAGGAGCCAGAGGGAGGCCATGGTGTCAGTCAGGGAGGTGCAGGGCTCTGGCTGGGAGGCGCCCCGTTTTATCCCCGTGGCCCGGGCTGTTATCTGGGGGCCTTGGGGTGACCGTCTTTTTCCTGGGCCTGTGCCAGCGTGGACAGGATGTGCCCGAGCGGGCCCGCCTGGGACAGCAGCAGCTGCGGCCACGTGTGTGCTCAGGGCCGGGGTCAAGGCAAAGTGGGGGCCGGTGTAGGTGGACCCTGACTCGCAGCCAAGGGGAAAGGAGGTGTCCCGGCTGGTCTTGGCCCCGTGCACGCGGCTTCCGCCCCGGGCCCTGCCTCAGGAGGGGCCCTGAGGCAGCAGTCAGGCCGGGGCGACCGCGGCCCCGTCTCCCTCCGTCTAAGGACCCCGGACCAGTAATTCAGTTGGTCTGTACGTTCTTCAAAAGCCCCGGGCAGTGTGATTGAAGAGGACTATGGTGCCGAAACCGGTTTGGCTCAATGGATAGAACGTCGGCTTGGGGACTGAAGGGACCTGGGTTCGATTCCAGTCAAGGGCATGTACCTTGGTTGCGGGCACATCCCCAGTAGGGGGTGTGCAAGA